TTATTCACCTCCATCGATTCAACCCCAGAGGCTAGGTATTTACCAAGTGCCGACGGTTTGAGGGGGGATAGAAAAGGGTAAGCTATAGGAATACCTTTGGTAAGGATTGCTTATACACACGTAGTTGACATTTACCCAATCGTCATATAACTTGATGAAATATCATACCGCCGATCTCGACATTGTCATAAATTACATAGGTACCTAGTTTATATTTGCTAGTTTAGAATGATAAATGGTGCATGGCGAGTTCGTGAAGGATTCGATTTTCCTAAAATTGGCGTATGCGTCTTATGGTTGTGGTAATTATTACATAGAAGCGGTAGGATTTCATCCACGTTTGCTTCTTACCGTGGTTTCTTACCATGGTCTCCTAATTAGGCCACGAACCGTTGAAAATTAACTCCCTTTCCGCTGCGTCCGTCGAGTCCGATCCGATCCGTACGCTTATCTACATTTATTAATCTGTTTTATATTACCGCGTGCATATTCATTTATTATTAAGCGTGGCTGCTATATGATGACAGCTAAGCATCCATTCTATCTATCTTCCTATGCACGTCGTTGATGTTGTTTATTATCGAATCTATGTATGCGTTTAGCCTGGGGAGTTTACGACGTCGATCTGCTGGGATCCCGACGGCTTGGAACAATTCTCCCAAGCGAGTTGACTCTTGGGACCACTAAACACTCGGTTCCAAATGGATCTTCGATAGCATCTGGGACATAGATTAATCCGTACATATGCCATACATATGCCATATGCACGCGGTAAGGGGCTAAACACACATTGACGAAGCCTGCAGCGAAATACGCACCAATTCTGCAAAAACAATCCGTTTAATAGCAAACGTGCCTAGTGCCTAATGCCCAATGACGGCAGGTTTGCTATACACTAATGCAGGTCGTCGGTCTGATGCCTTTGCGAGCCGTCTCGCCGATTTATGAAATTATGCTTACCTATTACCTACATACCTCTATGTATGTTTTTGCCCGGCGGCCGATGCCGAATCTTCCTGGTTAAAGCTCCCAAGGTTAATAAGCAAGTCATCATCTTCCCTGCCATTAATAAGTCATTAATAGAGCCTAAGCGGCCAGTGCTGGGACCCGGTCGGCTGTCAATGCGGGTAGGCTGGTAGCTGATATGTAGTAGCTGGTAGGGGGTACAGCCGAGGACCTTGCACAGAAATTATACGATAAACTATTCCGTACCTGACACTACGGCCCAAAATACGGCCCAAATATCTTCAAATATTTACTGTGGTTAGTTACACGAGCTGATTCCTCCACATCGAAAAGGCTATGTATTTGTGTAATCGGCCTATCTCTACGAGAACATATTCCGTAACCTCCGAGAGGAAGTTAATTGTTGATCATTACCTCAATACGGTTGGGAAACCGACGCCTCGCGATTTTATGAGCCGTGGAGCGCATCTGGAGAACCAATTCAGGGACCGTAGGGGTTTCCAGATAAAGTCCAGGGGTGTTTTCGGACGCTTAGACTCGTTAGTTCAAGTGCTTCGCGGATCGTCGCAGTCAGTTTCCGCGGCCCAATAATACATGGGCACTAATTCGAAGCCTTAATAGTAGGTACCATAGCACTGAAGCCGTGGTGCTCTGTGGTGCTTGTGGCTTATCCCCCTTTTTTGGCGTCTAATGAGTAGTAGGTACATTACATACGCGGAAAACGAACGGACAGGACGACGACGATGAGCGAGCGCTTAGTGTACTGGCAGTGAGCTATTTGAGGTCTATGTGGATAATAATTTCGTATCGTCCACGTAATTCGGAAGTATTAGTGCATTCTCACAGTAAGGATACCCGGAGTATTCGACCTGCAGGACGTGTGGACGTGTGGCCGTGTGGTAAGAACGTGTTAGGAAATAAGCTAGAAAGAATGGTCTTCATTACCGAGATTGCATATCGTAATGCGGTTGAGTAACCAAAAAAGGAGGCTGCATTAAAAGAGATGAGATATATTTGTTAAGAATCTTAAGATGGACCCAAGCTCTTGGGTCCGTCGCAATCACCCACGCAACCCACGCAACCCAGCAACCCACGACATTCGCTGGTTCTGGAGCCGTTGTGCCTGCATCTTTATGTACGAATATGCAAGGTATATCCTTGACGGCCTGGTCTCGTTTTCAAGCTTATGGCATATCCGCGGCCAGTTACTATGTAATGTATTGTTCTTCACCAGCCAGACCAGCCAGCCAAGCCGGCCGGTCTAATGCCAGTGGCTTGCTTTGTATGTAGCCCCGAATGTCGTCAACGCTTCTGTCGTAGCTGCTTTATGTATCCACTAGAGTTAGAAGCGAAAATCGCACTTGGATTTATTGCTTAAGTTAGTGTAGTAAAAGTAGATAAAAGTAGAAGGTAAGTTTGCCTTGAGAAGGGAGTTGAATACTGATCAACCTACTTTGACTAAATGCTCTCGAGTTACCTAATTCACTTTCGCTTCGAAAGGGAAAAGGAAAAAGGATAAAAAAAAGGAAAGAAAAAAGAAAGAAAGAAAACACTTGCATGAGGACTGTGCCTTACATGTATGCGAGATACCAGTACCATGTATACCCTTGTCTTAATTCGCGTGTCGGGGTGCTTGAAACTCCAGTTTAGCTTGGATCTAACCATTCATCGACTATATCGTCATTTGAATCATATGGTATGGCGCGTTGCACCTATGTAATAGCCATCATCTAGTTATATAGTATCTATGCAAATATAAAGATTATTATTATTAAGGGCAGAGCAGGTAAAACTAGCGGTGCCGTCGAGACTACACTAGCTTTGACAGGCAGTTAGCTACAACCTTGTTAGTGACTAGCCTACTGTTAGCTACCTCCTAAGGTACCTAGAATATCTCCTAGTTAGGTAACTATATAAACTCCTTAAACTAGCACACTGCCCCCCTAATCCCCTAATCATAACCCACAGTTCACGGCAATTGAGCCACGATGGAGCCGTCGAGGACGATCTATCCTGCTATTTTGTTTGACGTTGACGGATACTAGTTGACGCCCCGTTCCTCTGCCTTGTGTTTGTTTCGTTTCATGTTTCTGTTCCAACTTTCAACCTTCAACTTCCAACTTCCAATTCAGATCTCCTGGCGGGCGAAAAGCGCTTACATATATATGTTTATCACATATTACTTTTGCTTTTCTTTTACGACACTTACACATTTACGACCGAGACTACGACGTACCTACGCTGCCGATCAAGATTCTCGAAAGACTAACAAGGCCGAAAATAACTAAACAGGCTGGCCTGTAAGTCGAATATAGCACAGTTGGATTATCCGAATGCACAGTCGAGTCGAGTTGAACGCCGCTTCTTTTCCGCACATGCGCCAGCGTGCTCCATTTTATCCAATCGAACTCCAATAAAATAAGAGGGCGTACCAGAAAAGCGTAAAGTTATACACGCCCGTTTCTAGGTACCTAAGTGTGCTTAACCGCAGTGCCGCGGCATCTTCTAAGCCATCTTGACTTACACACTTACACACTTATACGATAAGGTACGTCTTTACATTTGAGCCAAAACAGTATTGCCCCGCTATCTTGTCTATATCTTGTCTATATCTTGTCTATGTCTTGTCGCAGGCATGAAAGACTGCATGTATATTGCACCCGGTATATGAAACTACATTTTATATGCATATGGCTTTTTTTATCCGTTGAATAAGTGTTCGAACAAGTCCGAGACGGATCTAAGCTTGTGGGCTTCTCCTGTTTCGTACCGTTACTACCTCGTAGAGGAATGCCTACTATGTACGAGTGTACCGAATTTGGCTGTAGCTAGACTGCAGTGTAACAAGGATTCATCCTCAGTGGGGAGACGGGGGTTGCAGGGGACATCAAGACCCTGAATGCTGGTAAATTTGGACGGGAAGTAAAAGATGTTGATCATCAGGAAACCTTTCGTATGAGCGCCGCTTCCTGCTTGAAGTCAAGAGGAGAGAGAGCCCGATGGTGTAGGCGTAAGCGTAGTCGTCACGATGTTGTGCGCGAGGTCTCCACATTGCTAGGTTGTTTTATATGTACAATACCTATAGATCGCATCCTGTCTTTTTTTCCCCTTAGGCTTTTAGATGTGGCTTTACCTCGTCAGTTGCTGATCTGAATCTCACTATCCTAGGTAAAGCAGATCTGACGGTTGCTGCGCCAGATCGATTCCTTAACACGAAACTTATTATCCTCGGCCGAGTCATCGAATCTATTTAGGAGAGTTTGGGGGTAGAAGAGTCTATCGAGCATTCTTCGAATTATCGCCGACGGATATTAGTGGTCTATCATTAACAGTAAAAGCTTCCGGAGGCAAGAAAGGTGACAACTATCTGATACTCCGGGACGTGCCCAAGTTTCTTCAACGCAAAGCTCCATCCAATCCCGTTATATGACTGGTTCTTGGCTTACCTGGACGCCTCTTGATTGTACCTGCATATTGTACAGCCAATATATCGGCATCAAATCGCTTGGTTCCAATTGCCGGCATTAACGAGAGGGTTTATATCACAACATCAACTCCGAATATCGACTTTATACCCTGGACCAGACGCAGCCCGAGGAGCACATAACCTTCTCGCCTATGTTGTGTACCGTCGAGTTTGACGGGCACCAATGATATTTCTTATATAACTCTTCATACTGTTTCCAGGTGTGAACTATCACAAAGCTGACTGCAAGCCTGGTCGTATTCGGGGCTTGAAAGAATATGAGTTGCGAATAGGAGTCGCCACATTTGACAGACATATTGAAGCATCAAAGCATTAAAACATTTTCATTACTTATGCTTATGTTCTCTGCCCCAGTCGTTCACGATTTGTTCTCCTCATATTATTCACCCGTTTGAGCCGGGAACGAGATACCTACCTACACAACAACTCGCTGTTGACAGACGGAAATTCAACTGGGGCCACAGCCAAGGGATCCAACTAAAGCGTAACAGGACGTCTCTCACTTTTACCGACCAACGACCCTTTACCCCTGTCTATACCCTGTTATACCCTGTTACATCCATTACATCCAATCCTACCCTCGACCAAAACAGAGTTGCATGATAATTCGAGGTACATATTGACAGGCCCCCTCCACTATACCTCCATCGCGTCAGTTCTTTATATCCATAGCCAATCTCCCTAACGGAAACAGAGGTGGCCTGCCACACCGCCCCCACAGTTTCTCTCGTGGCTATCTGCGCTTTCGCAGAGCCTCTCACGATACTCGAAATATTCGAATCAACAACGACTCGGGAATTTTAACCCCGAGTCGAGCTGTTCGATTTATCGGTACGTGGGAATAGGCTCGCGCATCTGTTGCGTTGGACGTATATACAACAATGTATTCGTCAATGCCCTCTAACTCATACGACAAGGAGCAACGGCCGAGAGCTACGACTAGTGCCCGTTCTCATACCCCCGAGACTGGCTACTCTTCAACAGCTCTCGCTCCTAACATGCCACCCAACCAACGCTCCCACAGCATTGGCGATATTTTCGGACCGGCGATGGACGGACCACCTTCACCTGAGCGCATCCGGGTGTTCAGCAATCATATCAAGCGCAACTCGAATACTGACAAGCACCGAAGTGAACTAACGATGTCGTCGGGGTCGTCCTCGCGTCTCTCAGCAGCGTCGGATAGGCAATCGTGGAATCAGAGCCGGGAGAGTCTTGGTTTGTCGAGGAATCCATCTCAGCGATCTTCGTCTGCAGGTACACCATCGCACGAACGACCTGATAGCTTGCAGTTCTTTGGAAAGGGGATCTTTCGTAAAGGAGGTAAACTTCGCAGAGGAAGTAGTGACCAAGGTGGCTCCACCACTTCGTTGGATGCAGTCGAAGCATCGAATGAGTCTAAGGAACAGCACTTCATCCAGTCCGTGTTCACGCGACGGAGAGCACTAAGAGGAGAACCCAGCGCGTCGACCCAGAAGAAGCTACAGATCTCGGGGCCTTATAACTTCCAACATCTCACACATACGCATAAGGATAGCCTCCCTGACCTAAGTCAAACGAACCGCCTAGAACTCGTATCAGAATTCTCAGCCATGCAAGGACGACGACACACCGAGGCGTTTCTCGAGGGCATCCCGAACGGGGAGTCACGATACCCAAGCTACTCCTCTGAGACCTTCTATCATCAGGAAGACCCATCAGTAGGGCTGAATGCCGATGGAGCACACTTACGAGCATCACAACCGCCTCCGCTGCCGCCGATACGATTAACGAAGCGTTCTCAATCGCAGGATAAGAACCGTATTCCACCGCCTCGCCCACCCAGGTCTCCATTAGGAGAGAGTAGTATGATGCCTCTAGGACAACCAGTACAACTACCACCACAACAGGTACATCTCCCTCCAAGGACGTCTAGTCGAACCTCGGCACGACACGATAGGTTTGGTTCATTGTCTGGGCCGTCTATGGACCACCCGGGAACAAGCGTCAGCTTCCGAAACCCGCAACCGTTTGCTCCCAGCTCGCCATCAAGGGCGCAAACCCCGCATGTGCCACTCGTCTCACCTGTACTAGAATCAGAATATGAAGAACCTTCGCCCATGTCCAAGGCGCCTCATGCTATTACCACATCGGATGACGTCGCGTGGCCCTTGAGCAATAGTATAAGTTCCTTACCCGATGTCCCAGAGGAGGAAGAGCACCATGCATCATCTCGACCGTCCCGATCCCGGATGAGCGTCGCGAGCAACCACTCTTCTCTTAGGGGCAGTGTATCGGTCCCACTACTTCGCCAGTTCTCCATGAAGCGAACGACTAGCAATGCCTCAGATACCCTGGGCAAATTTGATTTTAGCTCGCAGCGCACAACACACGTCAACGTTCGTGAACAGTCGATTGACGGTCTGGGTGGCGATAGCTGGGAAGATGACATCGATTATTGTTACGAGCACGAAGCTGAGGCGAACTGTGACTACGCTTGGGAACGACCATCATGTGATATAGGATATTCACAAGAAGTACGAGGTCGGTCGTTGAGAGACCAAACCGAAACTGTCATCACTTTTAATCGTCTTTCGGATGGGTTCCTGTCTCCTGGAGATGTCCCCGTCTTGAGTCCAGCCAGCCAGATATCTAGCATGACAGCTCAAGAAGCCTTGACACCGAATCTAGCCCTTCCAGTAGCTTCCAACTTCTCGCTCCCACGACGAGAGAGTTCAGCACAACTCCTTCGCGATAGCTCGCGTGCTCAGTCCCCCGAGCGTAACTTCAAGGAGGCTCAGGCTTTTGCCCTGTCGCCTTCGCTTCTTATCCCGGACGATTATCACCAGCAGATGCTTCGGTACGAGAGGGAAGAACTGGACGATGATAGCGATGATGATGAATTACTCATTCAAGGAAATACCCTTGACGAGCCTATTATCAAATTCGGCAAGAACCTTAAGCCGTCGAACGTTCGTTCAAGCGCTTCGACCACCGACTCTAGGTATTCGGAACACTCCATGACTTCCAGCCGCCACAAGTCGACGACATCGACCTCTACTGCCTTTACTCGATGGACCGGTAGCAGCATGTCTAGCTGGCAGCAAGGCCGCGACTCGACGCAGCATATCCTATCAAAGCCCGTCAGCGAAACCGGGCCCGTCGTCATCGTCTCGCCTACGCAGGCGACGATGCCGATGACGCCCATGTCAGCTCCTAAATTCGACGAGGAAATCTCCCCGAAGCACGAGCCTAACCGCGACCGCGAGAAGCACGGAAGAACACAGTCGCACGCCGGCCTGCTCATGAGGACGACCTATGACGCCCCGCCCGCCGCGGAGCCGAAGCCAGCTGCAAAGGAACCGCCCAAGACCCGTAGGCGCGCCAGGACTACGAGCCGGAGCCACGCCGCCCCGCTCGCCCTCTTCCCAACTGTCACTCCTCTTCCCGGCGGCCGTATCTGATGGGCTAACAGGTAGCCAGCCACCTGGTGTCTATCAGTTATATCTGTTTATATACCTAATTTATTGTACTCGAACCCACGCATACCTACGAAACGCAACACTCTTTACGCCATCTTCTTACTTGTAACCCAACACCGTCGGATCATCCGCCTCGGACAAAAGCTTTTCTTTGACTATTGGTTTCGGATATAGACTACTACTACTATTACCCTATTACCACCACCACCATCGCGGCCCTCGAGCCAGCCAGGAGTTTTCGGGGCCTCAACGACCCGCGGTTTTTCTATGTTACCGTGGCGGACATGCGTGGTCCGTTTCACTGTTGTTGTGCTTGATATCTTGCTATTGATTGATTGATTGATATAGACACCATGGCTTACGGGGCGCGGGGAGGAGGAGGCATATCATCCATGTGTATACCTTTCGCATCTGTCGTTTCCGCGAATACCTTGTTATTTTTTGCGTTTGCGTTTGCTTTTTGCTTTTATAATCATCGACAGCATACGCACAACACACTCACCCTAGAGCTAGCGACGGGCAACTGAGAAAAATTTTTCCTTTTTTTACTACTCCCTGTATTGTTTGGTCCTTCTCGCTTTTTTCCTGCATAGAGAAAAGTAGGGGATGGGCGGGACGGGTCAAAAAGTTTTCGGTGCGCGGAGTACCGACTGTGTTTTTTTTTTATAACTCTACCATGCTTTGAAGTTAATTCCGCTTATGCTTTTATTTTTTTTCGTTTTCGTTTTTGCTTTACTTCGACGATCCCGGGGTTATGATGGTTGGAAAGCATACCTACCTAGGTATATATTACGTATGCGTGTCGTTCGTCGTAGCGAACGCGGCGGGCATATACCTACCTATACATACAGTCAATACGGTCGAAGTGTTTTGTTTATATCTATTCATAGCGGACCGAATCCGCCTTTCGTCGCTTGCCTCTTGCTTAAGGCGCCTGTGACGAGTATTTAGAACGATAGTGGTGCGAGAGGCTAATGTGTATACATTATTGGCCTTCCTTAGCTAGAAGGACTTTAGTTAGGGGTTGTTGGGAAGTGGGAGAGTTGGTATGAAATTAGGAGATACCTAGCATGCTTCGTCTGACGGTCTCAGATCAAGATCTACAATCTAAAGCTATATTTCCTGATATGGTCTATTCTATATGATTAGTGTCTCGTGACATATATCCTTTCCGTACTTAGATGGTAGCAAAGGTGGAGGGACTATGGCGTATCGAAGCTACACTGATAGTATTAATCACTCGTTGAGGTTACCTGGTAGGAAAGTCCTCTCGTAGTACTAGCCAAACATGCTTCCCTAGACAATCTGCGTCTCAAATAGCGATTGATGGTCGGATGAAATTCCCTATAAAGGTATCTTAGTAGATAGTGTCAGTCAGTCAGTAAGTTAGTCATAGTAAAGTTTCATTTCTTTATATTTTCACATGGCAAAGGATGATGAATGTTAACGTAATAAACGTGTAATTTAAATTGCAGCATGGATCTATATAACATCCCGCACGTACGTACTCGGTGCTAAATATCCATCACCAATATGACCATGCTAAGCGAACAAGCGCTACCACGGATATCACGCAACTATGCAATCTCGATGTTGACCGGTCATCTATACCGGTATTTCAATGCCAGCGGAAAAAAAACAAAAAAACAAATCGGCTATGTCGAATTCGAAGTAACTTATATGCGCCCTAACGCCCTACAATGCTTATGCCATCCAATAATCCGGACCAGAACAATATGGGTATAATATCTCCATGTACTATAGTATCGTGGCTAGCGTGGCCACTCCGAAGGACAGGAATAGGACCGCTGCTGAAACGGAGGCACTTGTCATTGCAGCGCCATCCGTACTGTCGCCCAAGCCGGTGCCTCCGTTACCACTACCTCGTACGACACCCTCCGTTGCTGAGACAGCGTTAGTAACTGCGGTGGCGCCGGGAATGCCGGTGCCGCTAGGAATTGCTTGGACATTTGACTCTGTTGTGTTGAAGTTGGTCTGTGCGATCGAGATCTCATTATTCTCGAGATCGTAAACGACATAAGCTGATCGAAGGAAGGTGTCACCCAAAACGTTCGTTCCCGAGCCAGCTGGGGCGATGCCAAACAGACATGCCTCGACGCCGTTCGAGAATGTAGGGCGTTGTCCCGTTGTCGTCACCAAATCTAGCACCAGTTCGTTCATTTCTACCGAGATCTTCACTCCTGAAAAAACGAAGTCGATCGTCGCTGTTTGGCTCTCTAAGGAGCATGCTACGTACGCCGCACCTTCGCTCGATTCGTACTGCGCGTTAACCGCATCGTAGATCCCCTCGACCATGCTATCGGGTAGATAGGTAAGCGAGGAGCCGGAGTCTAGCAAGACAGCCAGGGCCTGGTTATCGGCGATAGTGCTGTTCCCCACTGACAGAGAGGTCAAAGTAATCAGGAACTCCGAGTAGACGCCGCCATTGGCCTGGGTGGGAAGCGTCTGGAGACTTCCTGTGTATTTCGCCGTATCGACTCCCCCAAACAGAATGCTGCCTCTATTCGCATCCAAATCGTTCAGCCATAGACTGTAAGCGTTCCTTTCGATTTGCCCGGCTGTCACCATCTTCTTCGGAAGATTATCATACGCATCCTTTCCAGCCCGGCCGACTTGCACCTCGTTAACGGGGTATCCAATACCAAGGATACCTTGTTCGGAAGTACTTTGATACCCAATTCCAAACTGGAAACTCTCTAGCGACAAATCACCGATTCGAATAGTATCAGTGACATAGTCTCCACTCGCCCCGGAGCCATCAACGTAAGAAATGTTGAACCAACTTCCCACATATTCGTAAGTGGAAGAAGAGTTGGCGTTATAGGTTCCCGCGAAAGAGCAAGGATCCGACCTCTGAGAACAGAGGGGTGAAGAATCAGTATTCACCCAAAGATCACTGCTACCCGTGTCCAGGTGCATACGAAGTGACTGCGCCGGCGTTCCTAGTGAGCCATTCACAAAGTATAGTGTCTCCTGTTGGTGGCTTAGTAAGATATATAGATTCGGAGGCCTAAAATTCTCATATCATACCTCGTTGTCTAATTCCGCACTAAAAGTACCGTCTCTCCGCCGCAAACGGTCTCGTCTTACAGGATCTGATATGGTCTTCCGTTCTGTGGTCAAGCTTATAACTTTTGGATGGCTGGTACTACTCTGTAGCCTACGTGCATTTGCCGGAACGGCCGAGACGCTTGCCACAAGGGCAAGCAGTATTGTCGATTTCATAGTGAAGATTGAAGGCCGTCGAGATAATTTTATCACACCAATCCGAAGCTTACAATAACAGTACCAGATGCTATAACCTAAACATCGAAGGGTAACTTCTACCGGTAGGCGCCTGGAGTGTTTAGTTATATGTACAGCCGTCCAAGGCGAAGGAGGCGAGGGATGTATAAAGTACAGTGGAACGGATTCGTAAGTCGTGCGTGGCCGGCCGGGGCTAAGAACACATCTAAAAGCGTGGGAGAATGGTATAAGAGACGGAAATAAGGAATTCAAGATGGCGAGGAAAGATAGCTATTATTTGAAAAGAATAAGAAAATAACAAATCAAAATAACAAATCCAGCAATCCAGTTGCTCGGCGTGGTGTGAATAGAAAGCCGGGGAGTTCGGTTGGTCGAATGTGTCGAACGACAAGTTAGAAGGTATGTTAGCTGAGCCACTTCGACTGAGCCAAGGTACTTGAGGGTCTCAGGATGCTATGCGCACGTATGCCTTGCGATATGGACCGGGATTGTCAAATAGGAGGCGATCCTCACTTGGCTGTCAATTCAAGGTAAAAGAGTAGGGGGAGAGACCGTAGTGGGGAGTCCGCACATAACGTCCAAACTTGGCGCATCTGACGCGCGTCCATCCAAATTCTCGGCTATCGCAGACTACCTCCCCTCAAAGAAGGCAGGGGTTGTGAATATGTAGGTAGTCATTCGTAAGAAATAAAGCTGAGCAGTTTGCCCAGTGACTTGGGTGAGTTGATTAGCACCTTGTTGTCGACGTAAGCAAACCCATCCGACATGGTTCTGACGAGCAAAGCTCTAAAAAAAAAACATTAGCATCCTGATACGGTTGGCAGTATCAAGTGTTGGACAAGGGTCCATTTTGCCCATTTCGTCCATTTCGTCCATTTTTTTTTTTCTTTCGAAGGGGCTTCCAAACAACACGTCAAACAGCCCTAAGCACGGATATCGTAGAGCCGCCCAATCGTTATTGTTTCACTGAGCTCAAAATAGCTCTTTACATAATGCTAGAATGCCGAGATCTTTCCCTTCTCGCCGTGGTCCAATAGATTGCCATTATCCGACGGTCTCCTTGGCATGGGACGAAGTTTAATTAATCGCAAGGCTGAGGCCAGCGAAGAGCCGCTTGGCGCATACCCAGACGGATATAACGGAGACGTCTTGGTTAAGTTTAAGTGATGATAATTTAGTGCTATAATGATTAATAACGCGCAAGCTAGAAAGGTTAGTCATTAGGTATTTAAATGTTGTCCCGAATACCAGGAAATCCATAATCCCCAAGTGCCAAGTGACACCCGAGGGAATTGAAATAGTGCTTAGTAATTCCGGAAATCATGTCGAACCTTCCTCTGAACATTGAATCTTTGACCTGTACTACCTCCTACGTACCTAATAGTCGGTTACCTTAGGTTTAGGTACAATAAGGCTTATTGAGGCTTTTTAGGGACGCCACAAAGGAAGCCCCATGATTAACCTCGAAGTCTCTATCCGAAGATATAAGGCCCGTCCTAACAGCCAATCAGCCAGCAGTTTATTCTTCTGCCTGCAAGCCACATTATCTACCTCATTGGTAGACCCTACGTCGTCACCAGGCCATGAGCGAATAGATTATTGACTTAGGATCTATTCAACGTAGTATACTTATTAATAAGTCCGTACCTAATGCGATGCTGCTTCTTACAAATGAGGGGGAAGGTAGGTATTTCATAGCTTTTACTACCTCCTGCGATATCTTGTCTAAAGTGAATGAATAAACCTACATTGCCAACAAACCCCATTATATTGGAGTCTTACATCTGCAGCTATCAAGCTACGTTAGTTTCTAGTTTCTATGGCCCAACAGACGCTGCTATCCGAGATGAACACCGCCTTCGCTGATGCCGTCTACGAGGCTCGCTGGTCCGTCTCTCGTACCTTACTAGAATCCAACTAGACACATGACATGCTAACCAAATAATCATCCACACAGCCCAGTATACGCCGTACGTTCCAAGTCCCTTAGCCCTGTCCCATCAATTCGCTACCTACATATGTCCTACAACACATCTAACCTCGCGCGTCCCTAGTCCTTCTTCGGAGCCATGGGCTGCGCAGCCTCCATCATCTTCACAGTCCTGGGCGCATCCTACGGCACCGCCAAGTCAGCCGGGGCAATATTCTCCTCGGGGATAACCCGCCCAGATCGGCTGATGCAGAACACGTACGCTCCCCCTCCCTTCCACGCCCCGCCTCGACAAAAAAAATATCGCTATAGGCCTTGGGATAGGTACTAGGAAAGAAAGGAGAAATGCTGACGTCGAGTCGCCACGTGTACGCGCGCAGGCTCTGCGCGATCATGGCTCAGATCCTCTCCATCTACGGCCTGGTAGCCAGCGTTATCATCTCGGGTGACTTAGTCGAGAAGATGCCCTTGCACCAGGGCTTCCTCCAGCTGGGCGCCGGCATCAGCGTCGGGCTTAGTGGCCTCGCGGCTGGGTTCGCCATCGGCATAGTTGGGGATGCGGGAGGTCAGTCTTTTATAAGTCTTTTCCCTACCCCTTTTCTTAAGGGGCTATTACAACTAAATGCTACGATGACTGATAAAACACTATCGTAGTGAGAGCTAGTAGCCAGCAGCCGCGACTCTATATCGGCATGGTTCTAATCCTAATCTTCGCCGAAGTCCTCGGTCTTTACGGCGTCATTGTTGGAATCCTAATGTTAACCAAGTCGAAGGAGAACGTCACTCAGTGTCTGTACTGATTTAACAAATCTACCTCTCGGCTTATAATTTCTCACAACATATATTTTGGGGGGAGCGCTGGTCCGTGACCCGCAGCAGCATACTTGAGTTATTGTAATAGTATAGAATATTAAGAGGCTACAAATTGCTCGCTCAGACCCTTGACTTACCTAATTGGAGTTTGGAATTCCGGTCTCTCAATCCTCAGCGCTATTGCTGTAAACATAAAGTCTTGGCGTAATAGGTAAATTATATTGAAGACAAAACCTTAAGTCGCCTTGTGGACTCCTTACTCCGTTAAAGATTTTAATCCGGCCAGACTCTCGTGATATATCGGTTATGTTCGTCTTATTAGTTATCCATTCCGAATGAGGCAAAACCATCATAACATTATAAAACAACGTAATCATCGTTTGGTGAGTCCTGTGCCTTGGCCCTAGGGCGATTTAGCACCCGCCGGTCTTTCTTCTGGACGCTCTACGTCTCATCGATCTTTTCAACCTCGGCCCTCGCCTCCTCCCACGTCTCCTTGTTCTTTCTCGCCCATTCGATCTGGCTCTTCGCATAGGCAAGCTTGAATTCATTATCAGTTATTATCTTGCAACAATAGGCTCGGGAAGAATAGCTAGATAAACTTACCATATAACGTCTGAGGTCGTCTTCTTTCTCGTTTTGGAACCTCTTTAGATCTTGTAGGATGCTTGCGCTCGCATCCCTCACATCTTGCGCCGCTGCTACCTGAGCTTGTTCTAGTTGCTCTATACTCTCGCGTGTCTTTCCTATGGCATCACGCCGAGTCCTCTCTGGATCTACATCAGCAACACCTTGTATGGCATGACGTATCGGACCAAAGATCTTATTGGTGATAGAGTTGCTACTAGGGGCCTTCTTATGGTTCGGACTAGAAGTTGACCTCTCAGGAACTCCCACTCTCGCCGAAGGGGCTGAAGCAATATCTGCATGGCTTGGAGGGAAGTCTGAGTCAATAGATGCTGTATCCTCCCCACTGCTTTCTCTATAGTGCGGTGTTGAGGTTTCTCTCATACTGACCGACCTTCGAGGCGCGTGGACTTGATGACTTCCCCCGATTTGTTGGCTGCTGCTAAGATACTGGTCAATTCGCTTTGCCTCAGCTTCACTACTTTCTAGCTGCTCTAGGAGAGCCTTTTTCTTAAGGAGTTCGTCGTTGGCCATTTCTTGTTGGACTCTTTTCAGAATCCTGTACCGTAGTACATTGCGAACAACCCCTGCGAATTGGGCACTTTCTCTCATGGGCTCGGCGAAGCTCGCTCCAAGCGAACTTGACAATTCCTCCGTCGCGATGTATGACGAATCTGCAGCTTGACCTACCCTCTCGATGGCCGCAGCTAAGGACGGGGATGGCTCGGAAAGTGCAAAAGCATTATACTTGGCACCCAAATCTGAAAGGTCTGTTGCTAGGGAACTTAAGTGGTTGAGTGTGCGCCTGTTGACTTTCTCCATCGGCCCCATTAGTGCTTGCTCTAGTTCTTTGATTGATGCTTCGTAGGTGATAAAATACGGATCTAATTCTTGTTCGTTTAAACCATGAGCTTCGGGAGGGAATCGGCGGAGTATCTGAGAAGCAACGGTAGTGGAACTGTCAAACACCGGGCCTGGAGGCGGATTCACAGGCGTCTTTAGCTTGGCTGAGGCAGCCGGCACTGGAAGATATGAGTGCGCCGGCGTAGGGTTTGCCGTGTCTAGTGGTGGCGCTTTCATAATCGACTTCGGAATAGATGAGATAGGATGCGAGTGTAGCACTTCATTCTACTATCAGGTTAGTCGTCAGAATGCGCCAGGGTAATATAAATGCGCGCATACCCAGCTAACATTCGGGTCGAGGAATCTCCATAAGACCCCGTCGTCTCGAATCTGTTCCATCCGCCGGCAGCGATTCAGGAAGACAGCCAACATGCGCTTCCGCAAGTCGATAATCTGCTGGTCTTGCTTCGCATTGGTTGGATTCGCAGCATAATCGGCCATTGTATGCTTCTCGGGGATAGGAGGAACAATAAGGGTAGGATGAAGCCTAGTTAGCGCATCGCGTAATGACGCAAATTCCGAGTATCGACGCCGGACTTCAAGGTCCTAAATCCCATATGAGCATGACAAATTGCCGCTAAGCTAGATAGAGACGTACCCCTGTTCTGATCGTATAAACGATATACTTCCCGCCGCTCTCCGCGCTCTTTCCGGCATCTGTGATCAGGATGGGAAGCTCTGGGTTTTCGTAGAGGATCTGCTCAATCCGGCTATCATAACCACCCGGTTTCCTTCGTGGTGCCTGGCTATTCTGGGTCCCATATTCATCGTCGCTATCGGGGTCAGTAATATGCTGCTGCCCGTAGGTAGGAGGTAGCGGGAGATCTTCACTGGTAGAAGACGGGGTACTCGGGCGATGTTGGTCTACATATTCCCAGTCGGGATCAGCCTCGTCAGGAGAGTCATCCAACGCTATGTTTTCCCACATTATTTTTCCTCGATCCAGGCAGGGTAAGAAGAATGTGGGCTTGACTTACAGTCGTGAGAACCCGGAGAAGTAGGGTGCGCAGAAGAGGATGCTATGGAATCACGGCGCTCAAAGCTCGTGCCGTAAGGGTTGTTGTCTTCCTCATCGTTCCACATAGTGATTCACTGGCGTCCGCGGTAACGCACCGGACAAAGCTATGATTCAAAAATTCTTAGCGGCGAGGGCTCTCCGGTAAGCTTATACGTATATAGTCGCTAGGGCGATGCGATGTGAAGTAACGAATGACGGCGAATGTGGGGGAGGGGGAGAGTGGGTGGACGAGCGCAAGCTGAGAATACTCTTAACGTCAATTACGAAGAATCGGCCTGTGTCAAATATTATCTTGAAGCCCGTGTGTAGTTTCGAGATACTTGAATGGATCAATAATAAAGACAATATGCGCTCCGTAGGTTTGGTTTATTGAATGGATGGAGCTTATGGGGGGGGCTGATATGTAGCTGTGGGATTGTGGAAACCGGAAGCCTTGTGCAATTACTACACTATGTACAGAAGTAGGATGTGACTGCTGGGTGAGGTCATGTCTTATGGCACTTGGGCCACGCTTATCATATACACTAACCTTTTCGCGTAGATAGTACCTAAGCTAAGAGATCTATACGTCCAAATGTAGTTAGCGTCGAGCTTACTTACTACAATACCTGAATACATGCATAAGCCGAGCTCCGACACCTTTGAAACCTCCATTAATAACTCATATATTTCTATAAATCTGGTGTTGGAACCTTAAATTTAGTATACGGAACACCTATGTTAGCTGGTTCTCAGAATAGGTAAATACTGCCTGCTATCTTATAAATGGAATTTTCCCACGGAATAGCCAGTCTTTTGAAACTAGACATACAGTATAGCTTTATCATCAATTATCTTAATGGATTTTGGGTGGTCTCTTAATACAAACAGAAGGAAATCGAGTAAAGAGCAAGTAACCTTCTTCACAGCTCTAGAGCTAATACTAGGGATAGAATCGGGAGCCACCATGCGTAAGCACAGAGGATGCGTTCCCTTCGCGCAAAAGAAGAATAATCAAAGGTTAAGTCATCGTGTGACTCTTCCAGAGATAAAACTAAAAAGGACAGATACTACGCTTGATCTAAGTCAAAAGGTAAAGAGAGTTCAAGAAGAAAGACATGTAAGGAAACGCAAAAGATCTCATCAATAAATAATACCTATGTACGTCTAAGGCGGTGGGGCAGAGGTTATGTCATCATTATTAAGGTAACAAGTGACTGTCAGGTACCTTCTATGTATGTAAGCAACTGTACCCCACCAATTTAGCCAATCCCACATGATACTTAATCTTAACCTACATATATTTCCAGTTTTTTTATCCGCATTTTAATTTATCTTTTCTTTTTTTCTTTATATTCGTGCCACGCTTTACTTAATTTTGGTTTTACAAACGTATATTAATTTTAATTAATATTTATTATTATTATTTATATATTATAATTATCTTTAAATTATATAATAAAAAAACCTTTTTTTTAAAAAAATTATTTTATAATTAATTTAAATTTTAATAATTTAAAAAAAATAAAATAATGCGTAAATAAAACGTATAAATATTATAAATTAATTTTTAATATTAAAATTATAATCGTTACGCGAAAATTTAATATAATATATAATAAGTTTTATAATTATATATAAAATTTTATTTTAAAATTAAAATTAATATAATTTAAAATAAAATTAATAATAATTAAAAAATTTATTATTTATTATTATATTAATTATTTTAATTAAATTAATTTTATTAAAAAAATAAAGTTTATATATAAAAAGTAATATTTAAAAATAAAAATATTTTTAAAAAATAATATATTAATTATTATATAAAAAAAAATTAATTACGTAATTAATTATTTTATAAAAATATATAAATGTTAATTAAAATTAATAAATTTTATTATTATATTAAATAATGAGCAACATTAGTTGCGCAGTGTGCTGTTTGCTGGGTGCGCAGTATGCGGGGTATAGTCCCGGGTAAGTTAAAATCGCTTTCCGCACCTCTTTTTAAATAACTTTACGGATCCTGGTCCGATTTATATATAATTTATACCATGATTTAGATAAGAAAATGACGAATATTACGGTCCAGGGTGCATGTGATTCGGACCAATATTGACCCGGATGCGGCTGAAAGTATGAATTTTGACTATAGTGGCTGTTCCAGCGCTCTTTTTAGTGGCTTTTATCCCCTGTAATCTCAACACGTTTCAACCTTAATAACTTTCCCAATATAGCCCGGATAAATTTCGAAAAAGTCTTAATATTTAGATAATTAAATGCCCAAAACTATAAAATAAATCCCAGATTTTTACCTATTTATTTCGTAAAAATACGGCTATATCTATAAAATACGCTAAAGTAAACTAGTGAAAACCACTGAAAATACCACTTTGTATATATAAAAGCTTACTCTTTTGATATCTCAGCCAAATCGGCCCCGAATCACGTGCAACCTGGACTGTATTTTTGCTGATTTTCCTATATAATTAAATATGTTTTTTCGAAAGGAATCGGATCAATATTCGTAAAGTTATTGAGGTAAACGTTGAAAGGGTGGGAAAAAGGAGCGGGTACGTACCCCTTTTACTGCGCATCCAGCAATGGGCATACTGCGCAACTAGTGTTGCTTTAAATAATTTTACGTATAAATTAATTAATAAAGATTATTTATTAATAATATTTTAATATTAACAATTTTTTTTTTTAATTAATAAAATTATTATTAATCTTTTTATCGTTTAAATATATATTATATACGTAAATATTATATATTATTTATATATTTTATTTTTAAACTTTTATTTATATATATATATTTTTTTTTTTTTAACTTATTTTTATAATTATATTATAAAGTTATTTATATTAATAAAAACTTATAAACTTTTATTTAAAAAGGCTTTTATTATTACGTTAATAAAATTATTTTTATTATATATTTAATAAATTTTATTAATTTTTTAATATTTATAAAATTATTATAATATTATAATATTTATTATTAAATATTTTTCTTTTATTATTTTTAATTTTATAAAACATTTATAAAATAAAAAAAAGTTTATATAAATTATTATAAAAATCTTAAATAAATTTAACTTTTTAAAAATAATTATAATTATAATATTTATAATAATAATTATATTTATATTATTAATTATAATATATATTTTATTTATTAATATATTATAAATAACGTATTTACATTTAATTAAGTTTTAATAAATTATATTATTTATAATTATAAATAATTTATTATTAAAACTTTTATTTATTAATATAATTATATATTTTAATTATAACGTTAAATTTTTATTATTTATAAATAAAATATTTATAAAAATATAAAATTTAAAAAAACGCATGTATTTATAAACTTACGTAAGCGTTTTCACGTGCTTGTAAGTTCGCACGTAAAAATCCGTTAAAAACATTAAATCTTTTATTAATTTTTTTATTATTTATTAATAAATTACTTATTAATTATTTATTATTTTTTTATTATTTTTTTATTAATTTTATATAATAATTTTTAAGAGTTTTAACGTAAAAAATGTTTTCGATAAATAATTTAATAATTTTTAAATTTAAAAATAAATATTATAAGTTTTTTTTAATATTATTTAATTATTATTAAAAGCGGTAATTTAATTTATTAATTTATTTATTATTAAATTTTCGGTATTAAATTATTTTAAAAAAATCAAAAATAATTTTAAATTAATAAATAATAGTTAAATAAACGTTTTTAACGCGTTATTTAATATATTATTACATAATATTTTTATTATTATAATTAATTAAAATAATTTTTTTAATTTTATTTTTATAATATAAATATAAATTATTATTATTATTTAATATTAAAATATAATTATTAAAAATTAATAAATTATTTATTATTAAATAATTTTTTAATTTAATAATAAAATTAACTTTAATTAATTTAGTTTTTTTAAATTTATTAAAAATTTTATTAAATAAATTTAATATATTATTAATTTATATTATTATAAAATTAAAATAGTTTTTATTTATAAATAATAATAAATATAAATTATATATAAATATTATTATTTTTAAATTTTTAATATAATAATATATATAAATAATTTATTAATAAATTTTAA